CACACCGAGCGCGACGGAGGAGGCAGCCAGATGGAAGTGAAAGGAGCGAACGAAGAGGACGAATGGCGCGTGGAGATGCAGGTCGGAGACGGCAGCGACGAAGAAAAAGGCGGCGATAATGATGAAAACCGCAACACCGACACCGACACCAACGGCAGCAGCATCGGCGACCAAGAAGAATCCGAGGAAGCGCCCGTCAAGAGGAAGAGAGGCAAACCCAGGAGGAGTCAGGAGAAGAAGACCCGTAGGTAAACGGCTCGCGGTATCGGCCACCGCAGGATTTGTAGGGGGGTACGAATACAACGCCGCTTATAGGACTCTAATGACGTCGTACCAGAAAGATGATCGCGTGCTAGGGCTGGGGCAAGGTCTTGAGGAGCGCGTAGGCTCTCTTCACCACAGGCGCGTCCACCATCTTGCCGTCGACTGACGTGGAACCCTTGCCCTGCCTGCAGTCGCGTTGATGACGGACACGTGTGAGAACACGCACACAGCACACACACCGCACACACCGCACACACTGCACGAGATCCGCGTACCTCTCGGCTTCCTCGTAGGCGGCGACCACTTTCTTGGCGTACTCAATCTCCTGGGCCGAAGGCGAGAAGCACTCGTTGATGGTTTGCACCTGATTGGGGTGGATGGCGAACATCCCGCGGTAGCCCAGCCGCTTCACGTCCGTCGCCTGCGCGCGAAGACCCTCCGCCGACCGAAAGTTGACGTACTGTGCTCCATCGAACCATCATCGACCGACATGGTATGAGCACAACGTTACTGCTTCAGCGTCCAAACGAAACGTCCTACGCTGCTTCCAACAACAACTACTACGACGACGACTACTACAACACACAGGAATAAGAGGGGGTGGTACCGGGGTTTCGAGAGAAAGAACATTGGCGGCGCGAGCGGCAACAGAGATTGCGCTTCGTGCGTAGGTGACGAGACCGCTGGGGGTCTGATAGCACACACACATCACTCGTTGAGCGGAATATCGCACGACAAGACATGTTTAGTGCAGACAGACGCACCTGGTCGGAGGCACCCTGAACGCCCATGTCCGTGAGGAAGTCATCGCCACCATAGGCTACACCGATGATTCTGTGCCGTAGGCCAGGCACGCACGGAGAGATGCGGTGAGACCAGCACTCATTGAGAGGGGGGGGGGTGAGAGGGTGGCAGTGCCTGCTCGAGCTCTTGCATATCTCGTGCGCGTTGACGACGCCGGCGGCGGTCTCGAGCCATGGAACGATGTGGATCTTACCGGCTCGGACTCCGTTTTTGCTCTCCAGCGCGCTCACGATCTCATCGATTCTGCGCATGTCCTCGGCTGAGCCCACCTTCGCAGCGCCGACCAAGTCGTCACCAGACCAGTTCCAGCGACAAAGGCGCGGAGACCAAGTGCGATGAAGGAAGAGTGAGTGGGTGAGCGAGCAAGCGATCACAGCGAAGAACACAAAGCCAGCGCCTTACCTTGCCGACCGAGACTCCAAATATGAGGTCGCCTTGGGCAATGACCGCTTGCAGGTCATCTTCCATGAGCCCTTTGAGCGCAACCGACACGACCAACGACACACGACACACGACACACGACACACGATCAGATGACTGCATCGCGCTGTGCAGGAGAATAGAAGTGGCGCGAGGGCACGTGCCAGTATCAAGAGAGTTGACCCGCGGCAACACTTTCGTGTGTGCTCCCAACTGGGCCAGCTGCGGCAGGAGGGACGCGATGGCCTGGCGAGCGCTCGCCTTCTCCGCCAGCGGGACGCTGTCCTCCATGTCCGGCACCAGCACGTCTACCGCACATCGGGGTGAGGGGAGAGAGCTCTCAAGTTCAACGCACTGCGTCACTTGGCCAAGTGGTCACGGCCGGAGGGTACCAGGAAGGGCCATGTCGCCTTTCTTCTGGAGCACTTTCAGGAGCATGTCCTGTCTTCCGGGCACAAACAGCCAACTGCGAAGCGCTGGGGGGGAGGGGGGATGAGCTTAGGGCACCCCCTTTGAATAAAGATTGTACAAAAAAAAAAAAAAACGCACCGCCATGTCCAGTGGCACTGGTGGCAAACAGCCTGCGGGTGCCCACCCACAGCTGAGACGACGGCCCCCATCGGGCACCTCCTGACCACACGCCAGTGGCCCGTACCACACTTCTGGCTCGCTGCATTAATTTTTGTGTTTAGTTCATTACATTTTCTTCGTTGCATTTTGTTTTTTCACGATACAGTGATCAGCTCCGACCGAGGCGCCAGCGAAGAGCTTAACAACTGCGGTGCCATTTGGCGGTGGAGCCACTTTGGCCGCTCACTCCTGGCTGGGAAAAGAGGTTGGAGAGTACCAGGACCACACAAGAATACAAGTAAAGTGAATGAAGCAAACCAGCAACCAAAGCACGGAGTTGTGGCGGATACAAGAAGGTGACGATCTGATCCGGTTGGTGGCAGCAAAGCGACGGATAAGCCAATGGCCGCTCCTCCATTCTCTTAACCAACCACAACATAGCACCATGACTCCGCCGGACCCAATCTACGACGTTGCGGGATATCATTGGTCTGAAGGAGAACATCGCCGCACGTCTCTTTCATCGCTGTCGTCGGGTCATTGTCCACTCCATACCACCACCACACGTTCTACGCCGCACACGAACCAGGAAGGAGAAGAAATCTTTA